TACGGGCCTGCCATCGAGAGGGTTCTGTCGATTATCGAGAAGGGCGTCAAGGATCGACTGACGGTCAACGGAGAGATCTTGCGTTTGCATAACGAGATGCAGGCCAAGTGGAAGGATCTGAAGGCGGAGATGGTTGACGTGGATATGGTTGTGGAGGAACTCTATTCGAAAGGACAGCAACTACGGGATTCCGTCTCCAGCATCTTGTCCGACAGGTCTCCATTGGGTAGCGGCCACGAGACTCCCCAGAGCTCACCACCGTCGTCTGTCATTATGACGGGCCGAAACGGTCCCCCCACTGCTCGGTCCAAGTCACGGCAGGCGGGTACTCCCGGTAGCCAGCTTCCGAAACCTGCTGCGTCTCGCCGGCAGTCGACCATTCCAGCTTCGGCCTCAACCGTCACCCGCAAAGCGGTACCATCCAATCCCCGGATGTCCACCATCTTTGCCAGTACCCCGGTAAAGACGGACTACCGCGAAAGACCAGGCACAACTACGCCTTCCAGCTCCCGCTCCGCCGCTCAACCCCCTCGTCCATCCTCCAAACTCGACAACCGTCCTCGTTGGAACGCCACCTTTAGCCCATCCGACGTCGACACAGGCCATAACTTCAAACCTCTGAGCCTGACCACCCCTTCGCCCTATGCCAGGTCTACTTCCTCCTTGGGCCAGTCCTCTACTTCCAAATTACCGCAAACCCGCTCTCCTTTGACCCACGGCTCGGATGTACAGAGTCCTACCATCAAAAGATCGAATGCCACGGCATCCAAACTGTCCTTCCGCGAGCGCATATCCTCTCCCGGTCCTTACTCTCAGCAAACCCTCTCCAAGAGCGTCGGTCCCAGCGCCACCCCGCGCCAGTCCAAGACTTCCCACTCCTACTACCCTCCTTCATCCTCCAACACTTCTCTTCATTCCTCCACCGGCGGCCGCGAACGCGTCGAACCCCCCACCGGCTCCGGCACCTCCAACATGCGCAGCAACCCCAAGCGCCAATCCCTCCAACCGCCTCGCATGTCCGAACCCAGTCTCGCAGTACGACCAGCTAGTTCCATGTCTACTTCGCGCAGCAACAGGCAGAGCATGCTTCCGCAGCCGACTTCCCGCTTAGGGAGGGCTACCACCCCTGGATTGACGGGACGGGAGAGTCCGCAGGCGGTGGCGGGGGCGAGACATGCTATGGGTTTGGGCACGGGGAATTCGGGCGTGGGAGCGGGGAGAAGGAGTGGAAGTTCGCTGGGGATGAGTGGAGGATATGCGAGTAGGAGTGGGAGTTCGCTAGGGATGAATGCGGCGGGGAAGGATGGAAGGCCTAGGTGGAGGAATCCCGGAGTCTAAATAACTCTAGGCTTGCTGTGGTATGATGTAAGTGAGGGGAAGATCGATGGATATGGCGATGGATGAAGGAGGGGAGGAGGTATGATGTCGGCCTGTTTGTTGCCCTGCTGAGCCTGCGTTGCGTTGTGTGTTTCACGTTGTTTTCGTTTCTTGTTCTGTTGTTTTGATCCCATGCTGTTGTTTTTTCCCCTCTGCTCTTCAACGCATACCCAAAGCACTTTTACCATATGAAAACTAGCATTGCATAGCTCTGGCGTTTGTTTTTGCTTTTGTATATTTTGGTCTTTTTCGTTTACATTCAAGATCGCATCATGTATAGTTCTGCCTTTTGGAATTCATGGAGGGAAGAAGAAAGGGGTGAAGAAGGGAAGAATGATGGGCGGGCAGGCGGGCGGGCGAACGGGTCATGGCGTTGCGTTTATAGCTTGTGGTTAGGTATATAGTGTATTCTAGGGTAATTGCATTTATTGCATTCATTGCATGTGTATCGTTATCGACTCTGACACTCATGAGGCAAAGAACTCCTGTGTTCGTTGGTTTCTTGGTGCTTGGTATAGTTCTCTCTCTGTGTCTCTGCTACACTCAGGTTATTGTTGTCTCTACGTCAGGTCTCACTATAAGCGTCCAGTCTACGAGTCTTTCTTTTAGGTTGCCTCCCCTTATATTCCATAGAATGGGTCATAGAGTCAGAACAAGCCAGCTGAACAGACGGAAGAGAACCTCGGTTCATGAATCCATGCTCGCGTGGTGAGTATTTTCCCGACTTGTCACCATGAGCTACTTAGGGAAGAGAAGGCACGTTGGGTCAGTCGATTGTCTGGTTCCCTCTACCGTCGGTCTGGAGTTGAGTAGTAGCCTAGGTACGGTCTGGGTAAGAGCGAGCGAGTGGTGCTGATGAGCTCGGTCGAATCCACCTCACTTCTCGACGGACATTATGGCCCCATTCCCGTCATATCAAGTGTGAAGCGACTACCTACCATGGTGGCTACCTAGGTAACCAGTGCCTTTGTTTCTCAACAAGCAGGTACGCAGGGCAACCGTTGCCGCGTATAAAGATAAAGCTTCCGTCGTCTTCCTCGTCGTCATCAACAACAATAACAACAACAACATCATCATCATCATGATCATCATCAGCTCGATCTTCGTCGTCCAGTCCAGTCCCTTTCGTCGCACCTCAGTCCCACATTAAACAACATACATCTTCGACATCTGGTGTGTGTCTCCATCCCCTAGGCACAACTCACTCAGACTCAGTCATCAATGGCAGTTGACGACGACCGGCGGCGCGCCCGTGTCGCACGGAGACGCAGACGTGCTGTTATTCTTTTTCTTGATCTTCTTATCAATTTTGTTGAATTTTTGAATCGCGTGCTTATACTTCTGTCTGTTCGTCTGTTTGTACTCTTTGATTCTCTTTATTATTGTCTTCTTCTTTTTTTCGGACTCCGACGTGCTTGACTTGATCGGGGGCCCCCTTCGTTTGAGTGTCGATGCTCAGGACGGGAACTTGACTTGATGATTTTGCCGACTTGATATTGGAGGTATTCTCTGCGTTCAACATGATTCATGGTATGGCCTAATCCCTCTGTGACCAACTGCCCTTTTTCTTCTCAGTGAAGCAGTGCGTGTACTAATAACAGGCCTGATAGTGCAGATGCCGTTTTACGTCCACGGTCCCAAGTCACAAAGTCAACAGTCCGAGTTTCATCCACTTCACAACATCAATTATATCCTCGAGGACCACCCATAGCCACCCCAGGACTGAATTGGGAGGGACGGCTTCGTGGTTGTGTCTCTTCCGCTACATCTTCCTCTAGATCAACACTGCTTTCATTCATACTTGATACTACAACAGCGTTTCATCATCTCTCCAACAAGGTCTACTGGGCATATAAGGATTGTAAAACAGATGGAGTGGTTCCCAAACGCCTGTGCGAGAATTGTGTCCGGATTATTGGCAAGTCCGTCATCATCCAACGTTTAGTCGTCGTCGACTCATACAAGCTTCGCAACAGAAGAGCGGTTCTGACGGACAAAGAACTCTTCTTTCACAGCCCAAGGCTCGAGACTATCATGGAGTCAGTTGCCTCCGGTTGCCAACTTTGCTCCATTGTTTTCTGGGACGAGAACAGGTATTTCCGGCACAAGGCCCAGAGCGAACTGCCTCAGCGCTTGAGTCGTCGACCATATCACTCGCAGACTCGCCATAACTTCTCTGGCCACAGTCGTCGACTTCTTCTGTCCGAATTTCGAGAGGTAACACTCCTTGGCCGGGACATAATACGGTGATGTAAGGCTCAGCTTGAGAGGTGCAGTCATGAAAGGCAAAACTACTCGTGTTGGCACAGGCACAATCGATATGTTTATTGATACAAGCGCCGCTGTTCACTTGGATGCTGAACTGTGGCGGAAGAGGCTGTTCTTTGTGCTGAGGGTTGGGCTGGTACTAAAGTTGGTGGAGGATGAAGCTGAAGCGACTACTGGGTTAGATCTCCCAGCTTGAGTTTTTTTTGGTGGCTTGTTCGTCCCTGTCAAGGTTTCAGCGTAGTTCCTGGTGGCCAGAATTTGTCATTCTCATCTTTCAATGCCAGTACACCGGCTTCGTGCCGTTTGTGACATCGATGTACAACTGCGTGCATCATCGTCAATCTCGCCAAGTCGCTTCGTTCCTGCAAGACTTGGGTTACGTGCGGCGGTAAAATAGGGAAAGAGTAGAGGTAGGGCAGACGAGACAGATGGAAGAAGGCACGTTCGTGTGCTGCGTGACTTTGTGGTGGGATGGTCGGCGACGAGTATTGCGGGGACAAAACAGAGGAGTTTCTGGCACGTCTTTTGTCCCATTACCTCTCTCATTCCATCTCTGTTTCCTCTTCTTTTCAAGTAACCGATAATTCCACTTGCCACTGATCATTGCCATCATATTCGACGCAGGCGGCTGGTGGTCTCATTTCTGTCACGTCTCTGCTTCATCCTGCCCTCTTCTAATGTCCCCTTCATCCTCTTTGTCCCTCTTTCCGCTACCACTCCTATTTTTGACTTGCTGTTTCCCCCACATCTTCTGTAAAGGGACATCCTTCAGCAGCTACGTGCTTCTTGCTCAATTGACGTGAAGAGATCGCAAAAGAGGTTCTGCCCCGCCAAATCCGTCTGTCAATCCAAATGATTCTTGTCCATCACCCAATCAGTAGTTCTCTTGGCATTCATACTGGCTTGTTCACATTACAATCCAATACTGGTTTGTTTGTTAGTTCGAGACGTTGTGTCAACTTCCCTATGCATTTTCATAGCTAATTTATGCGTAATCTTACCTTAGATACACTATTTCTAATACTCAAAAGGCTATATTAAATCCTGCTAATGCCTTTTGTTCTTCGTACTAGCCATTTAGATTTGTTTTTTCGAGGTTTGGGGCTACTCGGGATAGATTTCGTCTATATAGGATACAGAGTACGGTACAATACTTAACGTACCGAGCTAACAAACAAACCAGTACTGGATTGAACTTGTGATTAGGCAGGTAGTACAGAATACTAGGTAGGCTGGCAGTGTGGCTGAGCGGGAAGTGGAGGCTCGCAGGCGCCTGGCTACCTTACCTGAAGTCCAGGTCCGTTGGGTTCGAATTTCCTTCTTGTCGTGCTTCATTTATCCTCGATACATCAATCCATCCATCACTTTCAGCGATCTTGCTTAAAAGTCCAACCAACATGTGGGTGTTTAGAAGATCACCGAAAACTCCTCCTCAGACAGTCGTCCCACACATACTGTGTGACTGCTGTTCCCGTATCGTCAAGAAGTCGAAGATCATCCAGGCATTCGCTGCCGGCCAGGACATCAACAATATTATAGACTCACCTTCTGAATGGTTCTTTCACAATCACAACGTCAATAATCTCTCCAAGTCAAGCGCCGCCGGGTGTCATCTTTGTTCCTTGGCTATTGCACAATTGAATTTTAGCTCTCCACGAAACGACCTCTATGGGTCTTCAGTGCTAGTTAGAGCATGGAATGGACTGACAAATAAACTAGAAGTAGTCTTTGAATTCCATTCCGCACGTCTCAAGGTTACGGACGAGCTCACGAAACAGGTTATGGATGATTTCGATTACATGGATACCTTAGCTGGGACTATAGATTTTTGTCCCCGGGGTTACTTCAAGGTGGTCCCGGTGACGAGGTTCACGATTGAAGGTACAGTAAACACCTCCCAGCCCCGTTGATAGACATTGGATGAAAATCTCTGACGAGAAGCGGGCTGCTTGGTAGCAGGAACCCTTGATGGTGATGCAACATCAGTCCGTGGTCTTCTTTCCTATACGTCGACCAATTCTCCAGAATCAATATCTACCGCACGGGCGTGGATAGATGAGTGTCTCCGGAACCACCCGAAATGCCACCGAAAACCGTTTGGTATGAGCAGTACAGAGTATGAACTGCTCCCGACAAGGCTAATCGACATTGGAACAGTCGATGGAAAGCTTGCACCACGACTGATTCTCACGTCTACCTCCGAAAACAAATCGATCCAATACCTGACATTAAGCCATTCGTGGGCCATAACTTCAACCGACTCTGCTTCAAAATTGACAAGCAGAAACCTGGAGCTCCTGCAAATACAGATACCTATCGAAGGCCTTCCGCAAACATTTCAGGATGCCTTGGAAATTACACGTCGACTTGGATATCGATATTTGTGGATTGATTCCTTATGCATTATGCAAGATTCGGAAAGTGATTGGCACAGGGAGGCTCTTACTATGAGTAGCATCTATGGCAATTCGTCGTGCAACATTGCTGCTTTAGGTGTTGCTAGAGCCGACAGTTGCTTTGTGCAACGGAATACTCTTCAGGTCTTTCCGTGCCGAATCACGCAACAGCAGAATGGAATTAGCGTCTACGCCGATCCAAGGCTTGAGTGGTACACACCTCTCTTGAGGCGAGGCTGGGTCATGCAAGAAAGACTTTTATCTCCGCGTGTTCTCTGTACTGGAGCCGAACAACTTTTTTGGGAGTGCTGTTCCCGCACGGCTTCCGAGGGTTTATCACACCTAGCCGGAGAGCATCTTCTACAAGCAGAACATGCCTGTGTCTGGGCCGGATATCTGAACGACGCGAAGTTCTGCACCAAGTCCGATTTTGAGTTGCTCTGTGGCTATGGAACCGCTAGACCTATATCAGACACGATGCCTCAAGGCCTGCCATGCGGGCGACAGAACCCTAGATTTACATTTGCCCAAGCCTGGTTAAGAGTAGTCAGAGGTTATGAAAGGACAGAATTCACCTACGAATCAGATAGGCTCATTGCTCTTTCTGGAGTGGCCAAGGCCATCGAACATAGCAAAGGGTTCACCTACGTGGCTGGGACATGGAAGGAACTCTGGCCCCTGGATGCTTTGTGGTGGTATGAGCGGGAACCATCCAGGGAGGAACAGACAGGCTCTACGAAATTGAAGGCGCCTTCGTGGTCCTGGGCTGATAGAAAATGGGCCAAGAAATTTGCTTTACTGGACGATATTGGCCTCGATATCCACCAAATCATTTACCTGGCACAGTTTGATGAGTTCACTTGTCCCACATCCACAGCTCGATATATTGGTACGAGGGCGGATGAAGAAGGAATAACACTCACCACAAAGGGTCCGGTCAGGAGAGGGCTGGTGCACCGTAGTGGGAGGGTTGGGGTGCTACTAACGAGCGACGAAGAATGGGTTGATGTTTACTGGGACCTGGGCCAGATTCCAAAGCTAGGCGAATCAGTGCTCCTTTTGATACTAATATCCGGGAAGAATATTTACGGTGTCCCCGTCTGGGCAGGACTGGTCTTGGTGCGGGAGGAGGGCGCACCGAAGAAAGACGGGCAGCCTTGCTACAGACGCGTGGGCTACTTCGAAGGGGGCTTTGGGAACCACGAAACCTGGGGCGAGGAAGCGATTTGTCTCTGTTGATTGTTCCATGAGATAGGCACAGGGAAAGGGATCAGGGAGCCAAGGTATCAATCTAGGGAGTGCGAAATTGTCGAGCGTGGATTTTGGATTGACGGGGTTTTGCTCTTGGGAAAGGTTGAGACCTTGATGGCTTCTTTTCTTTAGTGCTAGTATTTGTTAGTCCATGATAAGACTATGGTGGACATGCTGTGTATTGCCTAAGGGAATGTACAAGGTCACTATCCTTGATATCGTGAGAACATCACCGTCATCCGCACCCTTCTACGAACTGTCTGATATGTACCTCCAGACATGAAACAAATCTCCTGAATAAGTTTGTTAATGTTCAAGTAAAGATTGTGCTCTTCCTCGTTTTCTTTATACATATCGCGTCCATATCGTCTTCAAGGAGTCGTTTCTCCCCAAGCGCACTGCGCCTACCACAGCCAATGATTGGTCGTCTGCGTCTATGGCTGTGGGTCTTGAAAGTGGGCCCGAGTCAGGTCCAACCTAACGAACGACATCATCCGGTCGAGGGGACGTGCTTGACTGCGGCCAGGTCCTGGTCTCCATTCTCCATCACACTGACTGCATCGCCATCAGTAACAACACAACAGGACATTCCCACGACAACGACAAGATACTACCTATCCAGCTGCCGCATTCGAATTCGCACGAACAACAAGACAATTTTCAAGAAAACGACTAGAACACCGTCAAGATGAAGCCTCTTGTGGGAGCCGTGCAGGCTTGGAGCTGGTAAGCAGCAACCTGGAACCACGTCCAGTCCCATTCATCAATCTACACCACAACCTCGCCATCACAGACCACGACAGCGCGCAATACCGGCCGGGAGGAAATGTGTAGCAGTCGTCGCATGCCACGCTGAACAAACACCACCCCACTCGACAACATCTACAATGGATTGTACCAATGCTGACCATAGACAATCAAACACAGCACCGTCATCTCCGCCTTCGCCATGCTCATCCTCGGCGTCTTGTGCATCCTCTTCAACAACAACCACCCGGAGCTCGTAGGCGGGACGGAGGACCCGGAGGACGGGAAGGAGGTGGCGGCGACGGCTGGGATGGCTATTGCTATTTACGCGGTAGGTTTACTACCTATCTTCCACATGACTCGAGCGGCCGGGACTGGTACCATACACAGAGCTTTGCTGACATGCGACGACAGCTCTTCTTCTGCTTCTGCGGTCTCCAAGGGTTGTTGCATTTGCGAGAGGGCAGGAGGGGGGCTATTGCGCTATGACGTTGATTCGACAGGACGACGGCGATGACTACGACGACGAATAGCATACCCACCTACATATCCATACTTGTACACGCACGCGATAACAACAATAACGGTGATGGCCACATATGGCGAAGATAATAGCGAAAAGGACGAACAGAGTCACAACAAGCAAGCAAGCATCACTAGGTAGACTAGACTTTGCGACGCGACGCTTTCAGAAGAGGAGGTTTATGGGATAGCACACACAATGGTACGGCGTTTTTGGGACTTTTAACTTTATTCCGCGAGATGGATGCTTGAAGAACCGAGGAAGAAGGGGGTTACGGAAGCACGGTGGACGGCTGCGGTGGTGGTTATACTATTGGAGCTGCGATGCTCTTATCGAGCACCTTCCGCTCGACACCGTCATTATTGCTCCAGAGAAATGATCGACGGGTTGTTGGACTGACTGGCACGAGTTGTCTCCAAGACCCGAGTGAGGTTCGTCGTCCATCAAAAGAATCATTACTTAGAGGAAGACAGTTGAGCTTTGGTTTTTACCTGTTCCACGGCATCTTTCATGTTTATCATGTGCAGTCGCTTCTTGTCATTCATTGCCAGTTTTGATGCCGCAGTTCAATGAGCTTCAAGTCGTCGCGATAACATTGCCAGTAATCAGGTTCCTGATCAGTTGTACACAAACAGACCAGTGACAAAATCGCATTTGCCCTCTTTCGTCATAATCGACATGTGTGTTTGAATACGTACTTGTAGTTGTGCATATCCAATGCCTGCCGGCGTACTACATGCGGTTGGTTACATACAACGGGACGGCTAGATGGATGATTTAGGCAGAAGTGGGTTCGCCGCGATAGCTTCAACCAATGTCGACGAGTTCCCCGCAAACACCAGGCAACTCCAGGCATCACATCCACCTTTTACTGTTTACACTACTCGATCTCACATGATATCGCGCCGGATACGCGAGATCCGTCCGCGATGGGTACACGGCGGTTAATTGTCTCCATGTTGTCCCTGTCGTGTTGACGTGGGTTGTCCAGGCAGCACACCCCCATGGCGACTTCCTTCCTGGAACGACCTGATGGAGTGAGGTTGGAAAATGCCATTCGCTTGACGGAGAAGAAGCGGGAGGGAAGGAAGGTGCGGTCGATGATGGGCAAGTCGACGCCGCGCGCGGTTAGAGACATGCCGCCCAAGGGAAGGTACTACTCACTGTACCTACCTCATGTCAAGTTTATAAAATGAACACGACTCCGTCGCTCATTCTCTTCTCCGGTCACTCCCATCGTCCGTCCATCCGTCTCGTCCCTTCTTCATCTTCACCATCTTTGATACACTCAGTCAAGTCCACCGCCCTGAGTCTCTTGTCTCCCCAAATCAACACCAAGTCAAGCCTACCAAGTGTTCAAGATGGCGACGTCAACCTTCCCCCAGCTGCCCGTCCCTCATAGCGACCTGGTCAAGCACATCGCCAACCACCCACAGACCCCCATGGTCGACCTCCTCCAGCCCTACCGTGACTATGAGGCTCGTCTTCGTCAGGTCTACGCCCAAGAGCCCGACTCTGAGCTGCTCAAGGACCCCTACGTCAACGTCCTGCCTCTCTTCACAGACAACACCTCCGACATCAAGATTCGTGCCCGCAACATGGAGGCCGAGTCCGAAGAGGAGAGGGCACGCTACATCATGCCCCTGCCCAAAGACATGCGCCGTCCAGACCAGTCCCCCGCCGTTGTCCAGTCACACAAGGACTTCCAGAGGAACTTCAACATCTTCTCCGAGTCTTCTCTGGTCGAGTTGAACTGGGACAACGTCGTTGCGGCCGGCTCCTCGGTTGTCAACTGCATCTTGCCTGTTCCCAAAAAGTACAGCGGCTCCAAGAGGCTGATGCGCGAGTTCTACCATGAAAAGTTTGCTCCTGCGTCCGATGTCGATCTGTTCTTGTATGGCCTGACCGAGGAGCAGGCGATTGAGAAGATCAAGGAGATTGAGAGCCGGGTCAGGGATGCGTTGCTTTGCGAGACTACCACGGTTAGGACCAAGCATGCTGTTACCATTTGCAGCCAGTATCCCACCAGACACATCCAGATCGTCCTTCGCATCTACAAGTCCGTGTCCGAAATTCTTACCGGTTTCGACATCGACTGCTCTGGCGCTGCCTATGATGGAAAGCAAGTCTATTGCACCCCTCGCGCTCTGCAGTCCTACATGACCCAGACCAACCACATCGACCTCACTCGCCGCAGTCCCTCCTACGAAAACCGCCTTTCCAAGTACAGCCGCAGAGGGTTTGAGGTCTACTGGCCTGAGCTCGACCGTTCTCGCATCGACCCTACCATCTTCGAGCGGAGTTTTATGAGAACTCTGGGTCTCGCACGACTTCTCGTGCTGGAAAGACTGCCCACTGCCAAGGCTAGAGACAACTATGTCGACCAGCGCCGCCAGGAAAGAGGTCGCCCTGCTCTTAATCGATTCGTGCGCAAGAACTTCCGCGCCATGGGTTCAAACATCAAGGACGACTATGACGACGAAATCGCCGATTGGGTCAGCGGAGACGAGGTGTCTGACTACCACACATTTACCATCCCCTACGGTCCCAAGTTCCACGCCAAAAAGATCGAGAAGCTTTGCTACACCAAGGATCTCTTGCTCAATGCCGAGTGGAACCAGCACGATAATCGGACCGTGTACTTGCACCGCCATCCTGCCTTCGTAAGTCTTTTCCAATGGATATTCTTAAAGTCCTTTGCTCACCGCTTTTTCTCTCTCTCTTTAGTTTGGACGCTTTAAGGACGTCGTTGAAGACTGCTGCGGACACTGCCCGGTTCCCCAGACCGATGAGGAGAAAGACATTGCCGAAGAGGAGGAGAAGATCTACGTCTCTGGCAGAATTTCCTTCATCAAGGACGACCCCGGAAGACAGCAGATTGGCTCCTTCAACCCTTTGACCGATGATGACTGGACGGAAATGGCCTATATCGGCAACACTGCCAGGCTGTGCCAGGCCATTGTCGACGAGGATGTTGAGCATGTCCAAGACTGGCTTGCTCAGGAGGGCGCCGATCCCAATACCAGAGACCACACAGGCAGGACTCCCCTTCACCTTGCAGTCATGTCCTCCTCGCCCGCAGTGGTTCGTGCCCTCGTTGAGGCTGGTGCCCGCCTTACTGCGCGTCTCGCGGACGGAAGAACCGCACTCCACCTGGCCGCTTCTCGTGGCGACGTGGAGATTGTCAAGATCCTCATGAATAAGAGCAACACCAACGAGGAAGGGTTTGAGGAACTGGAAGATCAACGTCGTAAGGCTAGGGCTGCACTTCGAGAGAAGAAGACGGAGAAGATGGATGTCGACGAGGAGAAGGCGGACGACTCGGAAGACATCGAAATGATTGAAGCTGGCGATGCCGAGTCTGATGCCGGTGGCGATAAGATGAGCATCGCGACAGGCTCGTTTGTCAAGGTTGACAAGACTCCTGAAACACCCGCACCTGATGGCACACTCGTAGCCGAAGATGAGGAAGGCCCTGACTTCTACAAAGTGGATGAAGTTGCATGGGATATTCCGTGCTCGGCTTTGCACCTTGCCATCATGGAGGGGCACTGTGAAGTTGTCAAGCTTTTGTGCCAAGAATACGGAGCTGATGTCTTGCTGCCCGTCAAGTTCCCTCAGGATAAGAATAAGGTCCTCCTGACGCTGGGTCTTGTCATGGCCCTTCCCATCGAAAAGGCAAAGTCGATGGCTCAGACGCTTCTCAGCCTTGGTGCCACGGTCGCCCAGGCGGACATGAACAGTTGCACTGTGTTCACCCGTTACGTGGAGCGAAATGCCAGGACGCTGCTGGACTTGGCCTGTGAGCTCGACAAGGCAGGCTACAAGACGGCAATCAACCACGTCTGCAATCAATGGGCCCAAAGTGAGACGCCATTGCTAATCGCAATCAAGGATGGCGACCTGGGCATGGTTGTGAAGCTCCTTGAGACGGGCGCTGTGCCGGAGATTGACTTTGAGACCTGGCTCAAGAGCGCCAGACAATCGCCCAAGGAGAGCCGGCTCAGCGACTTTGAGAGCAACAAGAAATTGTTCCGAGAAGATCTTGATCGCCCATTGATTGCTGCCTTGCGGTCCAAGGAGCCCAGCATTGCGCTTGAACTTTTAGAACGGGGGTGCGATCCGAATCCCCTCCACCCCGAGTCAGTAAGGGGTTTGCACAGTACTTACCACTATCGATGGAAGGGCAAAAGTGCCCTTGACATGGTGCGGGAGCAGCTAGAGGATCTTCGAAAATACAAAGGAGAAAACACAAAATTCGAGGAGCCCAAGCCGCGCCTGGGACTTGACACCTATCTCCAACGGTTCAAGGAGGGCACTTATCAACACTGGGCGGTATCCGGCGGAGTCAAAGTTGAGAAGATGGGGGACCCAGAGAAGCGGACGGAATATGAGATAGGTCTCAAATGTCTTGAGAGAACGAAGGGCATTCCTGAAAAGGAGCAGGCCGTCCGAGACGCCATTGCGACGCTGGAGAAAATAGAACAGAGCATCATCTCTAAGGGTGGCAAGACGTTCAAGGAGCTCTATCCCGACCGCCAGGAGGACGGTAATGATGACACCAGCATCAATCGCCATGGGTTCTGGCTTGGTCGTCATCATGACGACGAGGTTTCCAAGAAAGAGCCGTATCACTACAACTTCGTGTTCACCGGTGTTCAGGACATGACTGAGACAAAGCAGGCTGCCTACATGGAGCTTTTTGGGGCCGTGTGGACTGGTGATCTCGATAAGGTCAAAAAATTCACCCTGACTTCTTGGGACGACGCCAAGCAGCAGCCGCCACTAAAGATTGCTGTCGAGGGTCACAACGGACACAATCCCTTCACCCTGGCGTTGCAGCGTGGTCACTACGACCTCGCCAAGGCGGTGCTAGAGATTGCTCAGGCGCAGTACTCACCTCCGGAGAAGGCCAAGACCCGTTACTCGATGAACAAGAGCGGCGGGGAAGAAGAAGAAGAAGATGATGATGATAGTTCCTCCGACGAGTCTGCACCCAGAATTGTGGGCGAGACTGTCGACGATCAGCTTACCATTGACACCATCGGTCAGGTGTCCATGCAAGTAGAGAGTCACACCTTACCAGTGAATCTGCTCAGGGGCAGGACGGCCACCAACGGCCTCAACTACGGCAGATGGAGTAATAGCATGCAGTTGAACAAGGGCCAGGTTCTCGATGATGAAGAGGAAACGTGGGATCCGCTGATGTATGCCGTCACGAACAACGACTTGAAGCTCCTTAAGTTCGTGCTCGATATGGGCGAGTACTTTGGAACCCTGCAGCTTGACCCGGCCACAGAACCTCCCAAGTTCTTTTCCGCACCAGATGAAGTCTTTGCCACGGCCATTCGGAAGGGACGCGTTGAGGTCATGGCTGAGCTGATCAGACGCACGGGTGCGGGCTTGCCATTGGAGCACCTGGTGGAAGGATCCGGTGTCGAGCTTAAGGAGCAGCCGCGCTACTACCAGGGCTTGTCGGTGTATGGAAAGAAGAGAAGGGATTGGGCCAATGCCGGCCGGGAAGTGGCTCAACAACCACGCGATAAGAATTCCACAACGTCGCCTCTGCTGAGAGCTGCAGAGAGCTGTTGCATCGAGAGTATCCAGTGGTTCCTGAGCGATGCCCCGTTGAGACATTACCTCGAGTTTGCCAAGTCCAAGGCTGCTCAGGAAGACACCAGGATGCAACACCTGGGACGGGCTCCCGGAGGTGTTGAGGGTGCGATCGCTAGATGGCTTGATGATCAGGGTAAGTTCCGCGTTGCCATCCGCTTTATAAAGGCAAAAGCTAACAAGCATATAGGCGAGTTGATCATCCACGCCGTCATTGTCAAGTCTGGCCAAGTCGACGTTAGTCATCTGGTCTCGTATCTCATCAAGGCTTGCCCTGAAGCCTTGGAGGCCAAGTCACACAACGTGACACCGCTGGTGCAGGCCGTCTACATGGGTCGTGTGGAACTCGTCAAGCTCCTGCTAGAAGCCGGTGCTGACCCGAACGTCAGGACTAGCTCGTGGACCAATATCTTGCACGCCGCATTGACATACACGCCACCGGCTGACAAGCTCAAGGAACTGCTAAGCCTCTTCGACCGCGAGGCCGTCATCCGCATGATCACTGAGCGTTCCAGCCTGGCCAGTGATGGCCGCACCCCACTCCACCAATGGCTGACCTGCATCGGAGGGAACGAAGACCACAACAAGTCCGTCGCCGTCTTCAACCTCCTCGTTGAGATGTCGTCTGAGGCGGTGACCACCGCGCTCAATATGCTTGACGCTTCCGGTGACACGCCTCTGCACGACATGTTAACCTCACACACCAGCTCCAAGCTGATCCGGGCCGTGCTGGACTTCCAACCCAGCCTGCTCTTCCGTGAGAACGCCGTGGGCCGGACCCCCGTCGAAGTGGTTCACGACGAGCTCATTTCCAGCCGAGTCAAGTCAGAGAGCGGACAGCAGGGGCGCTACCATTCAAGGTACAGTGTGTCTGGAGCTGAAGGCTACCGCTACTTGCTGGGAGAGAAGCCGCAGGCGTTTCTCAACAACATGAAACTTCATCAGGAAAAACGGAGCCGTGAGCATGAGAGCCAATATAGTGACAGCCAGAATACCCGAATGTGGGCTCTATGCCAGGAATATTTGGCCAAATTGGCCAGCACCCCTCCGCCATCTCGTTCCGCTACACCTCCCACCACCGAGGGCCAAACCCAAGCCCATCATGCCCGCGAACAGTCCCCTCCCAAACGCCGCAAGCTCACGACAGAAACCGAAGGCCGTCTTAACGCGCACATCATCGCCACCCACAAGCTAAAAGAGAAGCGCACGCTCGTCTCTCTCCCCGAAGCCAACGACGTAGCCAAGCGTCTGGGCGAAATGAAGGTGGGATCCAAGTACAATTACCAACTTGCTCCTCCCGAAGAGGAAGGTCAAGAAGAAGAAGAGGTGAAACGGTTCGCAGACGACGAGACCCCTTTCGCCTCCAAGCCCGACCGTCGCACATGGGGGGACGGTGTCCGTTATGGCAGGTGGAGAAAGCAAAGTGGAGAGAAGCAGACGCCGAGGAAGAGTTATCGTGTACTTGCCAATGTGGCTTGGAAGGATCTGAAGAAGAGTGGGGAGAAGGCTGATGACGGGCTGGATTGGGGACGGTGTAGGTTTTGCGGGGATTATCATACGAAGTCTGGAGAGCCGCATCCGTACATCCACTGAAGCGAGAATGACATGAGAAAGGTCGGGATTGGGATGTTGAATAGTTCGTCGCTTTTACATGTCTGCGGCCGGGCAAGATGGAGTTGCATGTTTGAAGTTGAATGGGGGGAAATTTCGATGTTTTTCTGTCTGATTTTCCTTTTGGTAGTTTACTGTAACCTGCTGGAGCAATTTGCGAATTGATAGTTATAGATTTAAGTCAGTTCGCGATGTTTTATCGATTCACTGTCTTCAAGTGATGATGGTCTTGACAGGTATCGATTGACTGCAATGTTAGGTAACTTTGCACACACCCCACAAATTTGTAAAAACCACTTAGCACCCTAATTCCAGTCTATCGTTACGTACCCAAGTACGTAGAGTACCTGCATAGGCCATCAGTACCTTAACAGTGATAGTTGCCATCGAAACTCCCATGAGTTTGATGTGCAAAATCCTCGTTGAATACATCACGCGTGTTTCAGGGCCATTTTGTGGTAAAATTTTACTTCTTCATTCCTCTTGCCATTCTTTCACTCTCATCAGATCTCGATATACTAACCCTACCACTAATCAATACAGCCTCATGTTCCAACTCCTTATACTCCCCAGTCAGTCGTCCTACCCCTCCACCATCACCAACCGACACTGACAACTTGAACTGACATAAACAGACAAACAAACACAAGGCGGGATAATCCAATAGAGTCTGTCAGTCAGTCAATCAATCATCACTCAGCCTCTCCACCCTCGGCCCTTGCTTCTCCAATGCCTTTCTCAACAGCGCCAATTTGCCCTTCCTCCTCACCTCCCGCGCCCTAATATCCTTCCTCTCCTCTTCCGTAAACATTGATATCTTCTTCCTTGGACTTGGGCTAGACGTCGTCGCGGTGGTGTTGCTCCTGACCGACGCCGAGAAAGCGCCAGGGGAGTGTGATTGTGAGAGCTCGATCCTAACTGAATCTCTAGGGGTAAATGTCGTTGAACTTCTCAAGCTGGATGTGCTGGCCTTGAGTGGATTATGTGTAGGTGTAGGAGTGCCTTCTCTGCTCTCTGCTGCTGACCCCCCTTCTCGCGATTGGGATTGGGAGAGTTTGAGGCGCTGGATTTGCATCTCCAGGAGATCGACGTCGCCACTCCTCTTCTCAGCCATGGTCGTCATTTTTTGAATGGTTTTCATGACGGCTTCAACGGTGGGTACCTTTGCGGCACCGGCGAGAGAGACGGCGCCCTTTTCTGCGGCCCTGGCGGCGATTTTGGTCCTTAGTAGGACCAAGGCCTCCTCGGCTTCTGCGAGTTGCTTTGCGAACTGGGCATACGACCGGCGAAGCTCTATCTGTTGCACGCTCTGCTCCCTGCTGAGCGGCTGGGCTCTGATAGTGGCGATCTGTTCGGGGTCTGTTTGGGCAGCGAAGAGCTTGCGCATGTCTTCCTCTTTGGCGCGCATGGTTCTGAGTTCGCGGGATACCTTGTCGAGCGTCGCTTGCGTCTCGGCTATGTCCTTGATGCGGCCTTCTTCCAACTCCCGAGCCAACTGGCCGTCGATGAGCTTGGTCAGCTCTGAAGCTTCGACGAGGACCCAGTCCTCGGGGTTTTCGAGGTCTTCTTTTGTGCGCCCACCCGCCTTGGCGAACTTTGTATGGCCAAGGATAAATGATGCCAAAGAGCGCGAGTTGAGACCGAGGCGGTCGGCCATGCGGTTGATGTCCCGCCACAAAGTCTCGACGGCTGCGGGGACCTCGGAGGAGGGTTTGGAAGAGGGGGCATGGTACGTCTCGAGCTTGGAGTCGACGACAAGGAACTCGTTCATGGTTAAGGTAGGCTCAACTTCTGCGGCAAGTAGTTGCTGGATGCCTTCGTCTTCGGGGTCGACAAGCGCTTGGGCTTCGGCCTCCTTCTTGGCGGCGAACTTGCGCTGGGCAGTCACGTTGGGGTCGACTGGTGGAGGGCCCTTGGGGGTGGTGCTGGCGCCCAAGAGCTGATTCTTGTTGAAGACGGGGGTGCTGGCAGTCCGGGGTCCCTCTTGTGGCCTGAACAAGCTGGGCTGGGCGGTTTGTGTGCTGCGAACGGGACTGGGAGAGTCGAAAGGCCCTGAAGGCTTGGAGAACAAGGGGGGCGCATTCTTGTTCGCCTCGCCAAAGAGGGAACGACTCTGTGGCTCCGCCTCGGAGCGGGAAATGTTAGAGAATGTGCTCGCCCCCATGTTGTTGTTGCTCTTGCCGAAAATGTTTCGGGATTGGTAACGTGGGCTTCCGTTTTCGAAGTGGACGGACATAGTCGTCTGGTCGAGTTCCTTAGAGACATCGACACCGCTACCCTCACTACCCACCTCCGAGCGATCCTCATCCTCATCACTGTTTTCATCCTCTTCTTCGTCGCTCCGCTCCTCGTCTTCTTCACTACCACGCTCCTCCTCCTCTTCCTCTTCCTCGTCCTCATAACCCTCCTCGTTCTCATCGTGCTCCTCTTCCTCCTCCTCTTCCTCCTCCTCCTCAGCCTCACCTTCCTCCTCCTTGCTCGGGCTCCAAGGGACAGGAGGCAACTTGGGAAGATCCTGGGCCTTACTTGGGGTATCGGGAGGCAGTGGAGCAGCCTCCGCCTTCTTACTGGCAGGCTTGGCCTTGCTCGATAAGAAATCTGGTGGCAGAGGAGCTTCATCGCTTTCAGCTTTGGATCCTGTTTCTAGTGGGTCAGCTATTGAAGATGCTGATGATTCACTGGGAAGGAGGTCCGTCTTACTAGTAGTCTCGGGTACCTCCGAAATATTGGCTAGGTTCTCCTTATTTTCTGTATCTTCCTCCTTGACCTTGGGGGACGTCGCCAACTTAAGAGCATCCGCAAACGATTTGGGCTGCGTCTCCGACTTAAGGGGCACCGCGAACGGGTTAGGCTTCGTCTCAGACTTGAGAGGAGCGGCAAACGGATTAGGCTTGGCCGCAACTTCCTCAGTCTTGGGCTTTCCAAACAGATCGGTGAGCGGCTTCGGCTTGGACTCTTCGGTCTTGGGCGCGCCGAACACATTGGAGAGACCACTGCCAGGGGGCTTGGGAGCACCAAATATGTTGTTGGAGGCAGGGGTACCGGCGGGTGTCGTGGACTCTACGTTGAAGATCGACTTGGGCTTCTCGATAACAGGCGTGGGAGCCGCGCTCTCCATGGTCTCGTCCTTGGTTTCCGCGGCAGCAGGCTCGCTCAGTGACAGACCGAATCCACTCCCAAACATAGATGCACCCTTCTTCTCTGAAGGCTCCTCGTTATCGTTGGCGGTCTTGACGTCAGCCTTGAAAGTAGTTCCAAGCACAAAGGGTGATGATCCAAAAGCGGAACCTCCCGCGGGTTTCGCAGCAGGAGGAGGGAACGCTGTGTCAGAATCCATCGAAACTTCAATGCTCTTCGATTCAGCGGGCTTTGACCCAAAAATACTTCCGCCGGAGTTGTTACCGGCGAGAGAACCGAATGCGCTGCCTTCCGACTTCCCTGCAAAACTAGTAAAGGGAGTAGGCGTACTCGCAAAGCTGGCAAACCCACCGGATGACGAGGCAGCACCACCGCCAAAGACCTTACCTGAAGTTCCCGCAGATGCAGTGCTGGTACCACCAGAGGCCCATGGAGAGGCCTTGACCCCCATTCCGATCATGGATGACTGGCCAAAAGCAGGAGCCGCCGCTGGGCCTCCAAGCGCGCTTGGGGCGCCGAAAGCCGGAGCAGCAGCAGCCGGAGCACTTCCAAAGCTGCTGGAGCCGAATGCCGGGGCTACCGCACCGCCACCTCCCCAAGGGGACGTCTTGGCCCCGAGAGATGGAGCAGCACCGAACGCCGAAGAGCCAAATGCTGGTGCAGCCGTAGTGGAAGAGCCAAACGCAGGCGCAGTCGTAGTAGAAGCGCCAAACGTAGGTTGAGGTTGTGCTTGCTGCGCAGGTTTGTTGCTATCCATGACAGCAAGACCAGGGTACGTGGTCCCGTTACGAATCGAGTCGTTGTAAACGATCCACCAAGCCGAGAGGACACCGTCGTTATTCAGTACCCAGAGGCCGGGCAGAGGACCTGGGGACTCGTTGATTTCATCCGTGGGGATGGGCTTATATACCTTGTCCTTAGCGGACAGGTCAAGGGCAGTACCAACAGGGAAGGTTTCCGTCATATCCTCACTCATAGGGAGAAGCGCACGCTTGGTGTCATCGGCGAATTCCGTTGTGGTAAAGGCATTGACGACCGGTTTGTCGGCTGCCAAAGGGGTCTTTGAGCGGGTAAGAAGTCCGATGCTCTCGGTCGCAGTAGAAGACACCAGAAGAAGATCGGTGAGACTCGGAGGGAAGTCCTTCAACCGCAATACTGAATGATGGGGAGCCTTTTCCGCCCCAAATGGCTCGACGGGGTCTGTCATCTTGTTGTAGGTAAAGGTGGCTTGCCCGTTTGGCTGCTGCTGGCGTGTGATAACGTAGTAAACAGACGGATCTTGGCCGCTTGCGGGATTGTAAATTGCCAAAAACACATGATTCTCGAGCCATGCCAGCGAAGACACGTGGTAGTCTCCCACGCCGGGGGGGTTTGGAATATGCGCCTTTTCGGCACCGTCTGGGGTCATCTGAATGATGGAACCGTCCGCCATGCCTGCCACCAGCTGCTTTCCTCGAGTACTCCATGACGCACAGCTAACCTGGGACCGTAACGTTGGCCCGTTGGCTCCCGAGACAAGTTGACGTTCGTTCAGGTTGGCCATGTATAGATTGCCATTGGTGGTGATAACTGCGCAAAAGTGGGCGAACTCGGGTGCCGGGTTGGGTATCAGGGAACGAAGTGCTTCGCCGTTGGTGCTTATCTCAAAAGCGGACTGGGTGGTGCCGTTGCTAAGGGCATCGACATCGTAGACTGCCAGGCCACCACCCTCCTCGGCGGACAAAATAAGGTATTTCTCGTCGGCAGTAAAGGCAAGCTGCGAGACGCGGAGGGGCATAGAGATGGTGGCTTGGGGCGTGAAGGGTCGGATGTCGCCCTCGGCGGGCTGTTCGGCCTCGAAGGCCTTTCGTACGGATTCGGTAGTGGAGATTATGAAGGCATCGGGACCTGCTGCGGCTACAAGGCCCTTGTGCTGGGCGATGCTGAGGAGGGATGCCGTCGGGGCGGGAGGAGGATTCCATTTCGAAGTCAGTTGGACTTTGGCCTCACCTTTGAGAGCAAGGAAGCCGAGGCCCTGGTAGGACACTGAGTTAGCATGACACTAGGGGAGGGAGGTGTCGCGCG